TACTTCTCCTGAGCACGAGTATCCAATCTGCACTTGTGTCCAATCTTTATTTCATCTCCCAGGTATAGGACTTTAGTATTTTTCTTACATGTTGGAGACGATCTTTTCTTCTTTAGCATTCTGACTGTTTTATTGTGTACATTCAGCTGCTATACAGGAAATTCAGTGGAAACTTTCTAGTGAATCTCTTGGGTAAATGGAAAGAATCTGAGTATTCAGGTGGTCAGTATATTCCCGTGGGTGGTCTAGCATATTATATTACTGCACCATCGATGTTGTTAATGTTCCCTATTGGAGAGATGTTTGTTTTGTGTCTGATGGATAATATCTTGAATTGTTGTTTGTTGAGGACAATTTGATTGGTAAACAATTCCATTGCGGTTTTTTTGCAGCTTAGCTGATATGGCAACCAATCCTTTCCATGCACTGTTCTATCTTGTGTTCATGTTGTCTGCATGTACACTCTTCTAAAAAACATGGATCGAAGTTTCTGGATCTTCTGCTAGGGATGTTACCAATCAGCTTAAGGTATGGACTCCATTTGAACTTAATTTTCATACATTCTGGTAATAGTTTTATATCCCATCTTTTATGCAAAGTTTGTTAATACTGAATTATTTTGAGCTTGACTGATTAGTTTACTTGGATTGTTTTGTTGTGGTTACATATCTTGCTAGTTCACATCTTATGGTTTTAGTCTTTTATAGAACATATAAAAAATTTTATTAACACTTTTTTTTTTTTTGGGGTTTCAAGGTAATCATTGGCCATAACCAATATGATTTGGAAACTGAAATCCGTTCTCATAGGAAGCTATGGATGGGTTTTGTTTTTGAATTTTTTGCCATATTTAGTATCCACGGTCAGAGTTTACCATGCTTGGAATCAACATGTAAAGAAACAATCTTATATGCACCCTAAACCTATGCTTTAGTCAATACTCAAGCAGTGTCATGTTTTCTTCAACTAGAAACACAAAGCTACTACTAATTTGTCGCCCTTCCCGGGGTGGTTGTAGAGCGCGAAGAGAGCTTCAA